TTTATGCTTTGTAAAGAAAAATGGGAATAAATGGCCATCTAAAAAGAGCTCTTAAGAGCTGGTGTAGAGAACAAGGGCATACACAGCATATGTATTTGTAGAGAAGGAGAGAGCGTTCATGCTGAAGAGTACGGTTTCTAAACAACATCTCTACAGCAATGAGAGGTTTTCCTGAGCCTGTAGCTGTCTGAGTTAATGATCACATTGTGTCTCTAGGTATACATACAGGGGCTGAGGTCAGGCATTCAAGCCTGAGTGTTTGCACAGGTTTTAAATCCATGTCTTCATTACAAGCTGTATTGTGTGCAATCTCTTCCCTTTATGAAGATGGAGGTGGGGTGTATGCCCAGTCCAGTAATGAACATGAATTTGAATTGTGATGCCATCTTCCAGGCCTAGTTCATCATATGAGGAAAGAGTCTGAATTCAGTTATTCTGTGCGATTCCTGCTCAAGGAGAGGTCCAGATTTTTTGTGTGAATCACTAGAGATGGAGTCTTGTATATTTACAATCACTTATTTCAGTCCTTTCTATAACATTATTTTTCAGATTCTGAAAAACTGTATTTTTAACTTTTATGGTTACTCACCTGAATTTTGTAAGATTAACGAAATTAAACCAATGCAATGATATTTTCCCTGTTTTACACGCTGTCTGAATCAATAGCTTTAGGAGGTGTGAAGTGCTCTGTGCCTCTAAGTGGTGTATTAGCTCTGAAATCTACAGCAGCATTTTCACTGTTAGCATCGGTTTACTCTTGGCTTTCTTAACAGAAACATCTGATCAGTGGTTTTCCCACAATCTCACTATTGCCTCTCAAACCTGGTGTCCTGAAGCTAAACACTTTTTCCTAGTTTAGCTAAAACTGTCTCGGAGTTCACAAGGTCTCGCTTACAGGGACAGTTATCATATTGCCGACATTTTATACAGGGTCTGTTGCTGTAACAAAGAAAAAGCAAAGTGAATTGCTACTATAAATTAATTCCTCCTACAAAATTAATTGCTATGAAATATAATTTTATTCTGTTTATTTCCTTGTCCAGATACGTTTGGACAGATGCCCTGCTTTGTCTATTGAAACATGAAAAGCTAATAAAAAATATTAAATTACGCGCTAAGAAGAGGCAGTTAAAAGCAGATGCCAGTGGTGTTGTTTGAGGCAAGCTACAGTAAAGTACTGGTACAGAAGGGAGACTGCCTGCCGTAGAAATTTTTTTTCCAAAACCTGAACAAATAAATGGAAGTACCTGAGGCAGAAACTTTTTAATAAAGTTGGCCATGATATTACGCGGATGTTGGAAGTATTCTTTGATGGCTGATTGAAGGATGTATCTGCATAGGATAAGGTTTAAATTGAGGTTCTATACAATTGCTTTTTACAGGCTCAGTAATGTGAAGGACAGATTGCCTGTTTCCCTGAACTTAACTCCAAGCTGACGTCGCACTGCAAACGGACAGTTTGTCAAAGATGAGGCTAGGCGGAGCAGCTTCTTGCTATCTCAACTATGGAAGGCCAACTTTGTGCTAACTTGGAGATTTCTGTGGGAAAACCTCCAGGAACAAGTCCTCTGTCCTTCATTGCTTTGCTGAAGGTATACCGAGAACTTCTGGTCAGTAGGATACGAAACACGCAGTGTTTGATTGACAACTTGATTAAGAATGACTACTTCTCCACTGAAGATGCAGAGATTGTTGTCCAGTTTCCAACTCAAGCAGATAAGGTATTCTTTTTATTTCGCTAGCCAGCATAAGCTTTTTGTTACTTTCAATTTACCACTGGGTTTTATGGGCTTATCTGGCAATTTTACATCTAGTGTCTTTTCTAATCTTTGTTATTTTGGAGTTTCCCCACCCCGTTCCTTCTGGACAAGTGTCTCCAGCACATCTCTTTCAGCACGGCCGGCACTGCTTGTAATGCCCGTTGGCAGCTGTAAGTACGAGCAGGGTGATAATTGCTGTTCTGTCCCCCTAGCTGCAGCTTTGTCCTCTGATAAGGAGGTGACCACAGTGGCTATTAGAGTGCAGCTTGCTACATGCAAGTCTTCATTATTTTGCAGAGTATTGCAAGGAAAATCTGCTTCAGGATGCTGTGGGACAGATCATCCTGCTTTAGAGGAGGAGAGACAGAAATTAAATATTATTTTAGAAGCTAATGATTGTGTGTTGTCTGTGTGCACACCTTCCCTTCTCTTCAAAGACCTATGTGCATTGTAAATGTTTGTATGGAAAATTGATATATCCTGACACATTTGGTGTTTTGATTCATCTTTGGACATCAGTAGCAAAAATTATTTTGTGGTCTTTTGATAGGAAAAAATTATCACATGTACACAGTTGCTCTTTGCATCATGACTTAAAAAAAACTCCTGATCTGTTTGCCTGACCAACCAGTCATGCAGCTTCAGAACGGTGTTACAGTTAGAGGCAGGCAAACCATAAAAAATTCAGAGACCTTGGCCTTCACTAACAGTGCAGATTTTCATAAAATAGTAATTCTTGCTGGCAAGTTGACATAGTAACACAGTGCTCACTCTGTGTATAGGGTCAAAGCTGAATAAATGCACGCTGTATGATCATCTCCATTTCTTATTGTTCAGCATAATATACATGATTGTTGTAACAAAGCTGAGGGGGAGGCAGTGCATCAGGAGTCTAAGCAGAAACAGAGAGCAGGCCACAATAGTAACTGAAGTGGACTGTGTGGGAGCTTCTCTGGAAGGCATAAAATTGCTTTTTAGAGCATACAAATTGTCAAAAAATACCATGCTTTTGCTGTGCTGTATGTACCTCACCCTGCTTTAAGCTCACAAGAGACCACAGTCTGTAGAAACCTTTGTCTGGTTTAGAACTGAATTCTTCATTCATTTCCTGCAAAAAGAGGATCCAGACATTCAAAATGGGCCTCCAAATGATTGCTCTGTCTTGCAGAGGGTTTTGTTCTAGGGTTGCCCTGTACTGGTTGCACAGAGATCAGATTCTGCCTTGCCTTTAGAGGTAACGCTTAGTCTTGAACTGCTCCAGCCACTGCCTGGTAGCCATTAGTTTTAGTAACAGTTGCAGGCAATGAGTCTGTTGTACAGAGAGAGCCTGCAGAATTGGGTCGCTGTGTTAAAAGGAGGAGTTTTAGGTTTTGATCTGCATTAAGGTCTGGAGAGAGATTCTGCCTACCCTGCTCTGGATCTGGCTGGATCCTGAGGTAAATCTAAATGTGTCTGGAATATTTACAAACCAGAGGGTGAATTTAGGGCATTGAGAAACCACCCCTTTCTTTTTTATTTTAACCAGCATGAGATTTAAAATATGCTGTCTAGCCAGCTGAGGAAATCCTTTGGGTTCCCTGTTGAGGAGCAGTATTTATCCATTTTGTTTCTGGTTAGAGTACGATTTAGCTACAAGTTCGGACCTTAACTTGCAGAGCCAACTTTCTTGCAACATCCAAATACAAATAGAAAGTCAGTTTTGTGATGGTTCAAATTCAGAGCTAGATTTTGAATTCAAGTTTTTGAAGTTTTGATTTTGGTGCCCTGTTCCAGTCCAAAAAGGATCCTAAAGCAGTCTACAACTGTAACTGTGATAAAATGCTGTGTATCAATGATCTTTCACGTGGTGTTTTTTCAGGTTCGCAAAATTCTAGACTTGGTTCAGAGCAAGGGAGAAGAAGTCTCAGAATATTTCATCCGTGTCCTGCAGAAAGTCACTGATGCTTACTATGAGCTTCAGCCTTGGCTGGATGAAATAGGTTACGAGCCTTCAGAGAATATTTGTAGTAAACCTGTGGTAAATACAGATCCAGGTAAGGTCATGCATCTGTATCCCTTTCCTTAGAACTACCCTACTATGTAGGGACCTCTAACCAGCTGTGAAAGTAAGAGAGTCTAGGTAGGCACAGCCAGGGAAAATAAATGTGCACATGCTGTGCTTACTAGCAGTGGTAGCCAGATAATTAAAAGGCGCACTGTATAACACAACAGTCATGTTGATATATTACATCTTGTTTTGCTAACGTCAAGCTCTTTCTGCATTTGTTTGTGGATATGTAGCATAATGGCATAACCTTATGCCAGCTGTAGTATTTTCTAGGCCTCTGCTACAATTTATTAGCAACACTGTCATGTTTTGGCAATGGAATAGCCAGTATTTTATGATGAGGACAGTCAAGCAATGAGGCAGGTTGCCCAGAGAGGCTGTGCAGTCTCCATACTTGGAGGTTTTCAAGATCCAACTAGATAAAGCCCTGAGTAACCTCATCTGATCTTGTAAATGACCCTGTTCTGAGAAGGAGGTTGGACTAGAGACCTTCTGAAGTCCCCTTCAACCTGAATTATTCTGTGATCCTAAATGATGAGTTATACCAAAAGTCAGAGTTAAAGTATTGCAGAAATAAATGTTTTCCTCTTGAGAGGTTTTTTCATACTACATAAATACAAGAATTACTTTGCCCCCATCTGAAGCGAAGTTTCTGTTGCAGTAAAAACACAAGCCAACGTGGCACAATAACTGAGACTCTTTTTTTTTTTTGTCACCTTAAAAAAATCTTTTCAGGTGCCTAAAGGTTTCTAAAGTGCATGACTTCTATTTACAATAATAAAAATTACCGAACAAGCTGGGAAAGAATAACCACCTACCTGATAGAAATTGCAGGTAGAATATAAATATAGTGAAAAGGCAGATGCCAACGCTAATCAGCGACTACCAACCCCTGCTTTTGCAGAGAGCAAAACAGTCTTTTAAGAAAAGGTCAGGGGCTTGACTTTGAGTCTCAGGTGAAAGATAGCAGCCCCTTAAAGCAATGCAGTGTCAGTACTGGCTTTCAGGAAATGGTGGCTCCCACTTTACCTCTTTCATTAGCACCTGAATTTCCCAGGAGAGTCATGATGGCAGCACAAATAAATAGAAGTAATCTGCCAAAGAACCAATTTTACATAAGAATTTTTTTAGTTTATTACCCCCTCTCAGTTCCCAAAGAGGTGGGTCATCATATACATAGGCTTTTTAATAGTAGTCTTTTTAATAATAGTTCACTGTCTTTCTAGTTAGCAGGTATTGCCAGAAACTCAGATATGAACTGGGACGGGACTCCAAGTTTGTTATGTCATACGCTCAAAGGGAAGAGATGCTGCTTGAAGAAATCTACTCTAACAGTATTATGGAGCTGGTCAGTTTTACCAATGAGAGTTTAGGCAAAGTGTGTCAATTAGAAGCCCTTTTTGATGATGCAGTTGGGCTAATTAATGAAGATGGAGAGACTATTTATGTCTTTGGTGATGCAGGAATTGGAAAATCCATCTTGCTGCAAAAGATACAAAGCCTTTGGGCCAGAAAAGAATTGGACGTAGGGGCCAAATTTTTCTTCCGTTTTAAATGTAGGATGTTTAGTTGCTTTAAGGAAGATGAAGCCATATGTTTGAAAGACCTACTCTTCAAATACAATTGCTACCCAGACCAGGACCCCACAGAGGTGTTCCATCACATCTTGCAATTCCCTCATACAGTTCTTTTCACATTTGATGGCTTCGATGAGATCTATTCCAACTTCGATCTCAGTAGTGTTCCTGAGATGTGTTCACCCAATGAACCCATCCATCCCCTGGTGCTGCTGGTAAGCCTTCTCAGAGGAAAGCTTCTTAAGGGATCCAAGAAAATTCTTACAGCGAGGACAGGAACTGAGATCCAAAGAAACATCATTAGAAAGAAAGTGTTGCTCCGTGGTTTCTCCAGCAATAACCTGAAGGAATACACTGCCATGTTTTTCAAAGATGAGGGGCAACGAACACTGGTATTGAACCAGTTGGAAGCTAACCCCAATCTCTGCAGTTTGTGTTCGGTGCCTTTATTTTGTTGGATTATCTTTAAATGCTATGAACACTTCCATTCCATGTTTGATAGCCACGAGCTTCCAGACTGTTCTGTTACATTGACAGATGTATTTTTGCTCATGATTGAAGTCCATCTGAACCGATCTCTGAAAACAAGTTTGCTGAAGAACAACACCAGAAGCCAAGCAGAGATGTTCACATCCAGAAAGGAAACTCTTCTAGCTTTGGGTAAAATGGCATACAAGGGGATGGAGAACTCTTTCTTTATCTTTGAGCAGGAGGAGGTCTCATCAGCGAATATCTCTGAAGAAGATTTGCAATTGGGCTTTCTCAGGACAGTTAAAGGTTACAGCGGCTGTGACAATCAGTCCACTTATGAGTTCTTGCACTTAACCCTTCAGTCTTTTTTCACAGCTTTGTTCCTGGTTATTGAAGAGAAAGTGGGTGCCAAGGAGTTACTTCAGTTTTTCAATGAATGTTCTTCCACTGAGACTGCCCAGCCTACTTGCCTTCGTATTCCTTGGTTGAAGAAACAACTAGCAGGGAAGGATCCCTTCCGAAATAATGAACACTTTCATTTTACCAACCTGTTTCTTTGTGGCCTGCTTTCCAGATCCAAGCAGAAGCTCTTCAGACATTTAGTTTTGCCTGCAGTCATTAAGAGGAAGAGAAAGGCGCTTATCACATACCTTGGGGAGAGCATGAAATCCCACCTGAAAGGCCTCACTCGGTCCAGGTTTCCAAACTACAATCAGATCCAGGTCCAGCCCAACTTTGTTTGGATGCTGAGGTGCCTGTACGAGACTCAGAGTGAGAAAGTGGGGAAGTTGGCTGCCAAACGCATGCATGCCAATTACATCAAGCTCACATACTGCAATGCCTACTCTGCTGACTGCAGTGCTATTTCCTTTGTTGTGCATCACTTTCAAAAGCGCCTGGCTCTGGATTTGGACAACAACAACATCAATGACTATGGAGTAAAAGAGCTGCTACCTTGTTTCAGCAAGCTTGCAGTGATCAGGTAGGAGTCTGTGCAAGCAGGTCCTTGCTTATCCTTGGTTTATTCCATAAACTGCTGGGCTGGAGGAATTGATCTTGAAAGTGGAGAAAGATGAGGATTCTTACTGCTGCTGGAAATTAGTTTCAGACCTTCTGAAATTTTTGTTCAGCCAGTCGCAGGAGCAGGGACAAGCTGTGAATTTGGAAACCCAGATGGAAAGGGTGATAAGAAGTCCTTAGAAGCCAGATCTGTTTAAACCTGTAGGTTTAGTTAGCTCCATCTTAAGCTCTCTTGTCTTGAAAGAGGATTTTTATGGGAGAAAGTGCTTAATGGAAAAGAAAGGAAACAGAAGTGCTTCCTCCATTGTCTGAAGTTTGCCTGAGCCTATCTCTGCCCTTGGTCATACAGGGTAAGGGAAGATCTACTATTCACAATAATCCTTGATCAAAAGCTCTGAATTTCTTGCTTTATATCCTGCAAGATGTCTGGCTTTCACAGGACAAAAGCTAATATGTAGTACTTCATGAAAGGATGTAGTTGAAGTCTTTAGATGTGGTGTTTCCCTGAGGTGATGTGGAGGGAGGACATGGCTTGGTGTGATCAGGGAGAGCTAACTCCACCTCTAACATCACAGGCCAGATTGTTCCACCTCCAGTCCTTTGAGGTTGTGTCATGTAGCTATACCTTATTTGTCCAAACATTTAGGTGCAGAAAACCAGGAACTTCAAATACACCTTTTTTAAAGCTCCTTCAGCCTCATGAGAATTTTTTTTAATGAATGGATTTATTCCTCCTGATTGGCTGTGCTCTGCCTTGTTTTCCTCTAGACTAAATCAAAGCAAGTGACACTTTTTTTTTGCAGTTAGTTGCAAATCAACTGACCTCCCAGGAGAAAGCAATAGGGAAACCTGGGGGGAAAATGCATAAGTATGTAAGACAAACCAAAGAAGAAAAGGACAGACTTTCATTCTTTGTGCCTATCATATGATCATGCCATACACAGTGCGATCTTAACACCATCCCCAGCACCAAACCAGTCTGTTAGGTTGCCTTTTTGTCTTTATGGCTCTTCTGAGGTTAGGACTTTGATTTCTAATGACCAATTTCTGCAGGTCAGGAAACGTTGTTTCTAATAGCTTAACCATCCCTTTCAAAGAAGCAGACTGTTCTGACCTGTAGAAATCGGCTCTGATTTTTCCGATGTGCTAGTGCATTCCAAAGTGACCAAGTTACTGACTAGCAAGAGTCAGGGAGGCTGTTGGTGATAAGGGACTCTCAGCAGTGAATGTTCAGCTTCAGAATTTGTGTAGAAACTAAAGCTGGTCAAAATGTTTTCACAGGGACAGCTTTACCCAGAAAATGTGACTCATCAGAATTGGAATGCTTCACGGGAACCTGTCTATTTAGGCAAGGTGAAAGAGCTTGAGAAGTTTAAAACAAAACAAAACAAAAACCAACAAAAAAACCCTCCAAAAACCCCTAAACAACTGTGAAAAGAAGTATTTTTATTCTGTGAATGACTGACATTGATTTGTTTCGTGTTTAGTTGGGACAATAAAATTAGAAACATCTAGCGCACTCATGGGACTGTAGTTCTATTTCCTGGCCAGGGCTTTTCACAACCTTTATTCAGTGGAGCCTGAATGTGTTGTGACTTTCAAGATGCCTGGCTTTCACTAGGTACTCGGAGAGAAGATTGCAAGAAGAGTAGTTTGGAAAGCTTGCTTTTGCTAGGGTGTCAAGCAGAATTTCTTCCTGCAATCACAGTAAGCACGGGAAGAGGATGAGGTGTTTGTCTCTGGTTTCTGAGTTACTACATTTTATTGTTTTCAGTTCTATGGACAGCTTCCAGAGCATTACCTTGGAGATCTCGGGCTTTTTGTTTTCTATTGTTTTTGAAGTGAGCCATATGAAACTAAGCTCACATTTCCCTTAATAGCTTTTAATATATGATATAAGGACCTGTTAAAATATCAAAGGAAAATGCATAGACCTCCTGTAATTCGTTAACTCATGGGTGATGAACACTTGTAATCTGTATTGATTCAAACTTTCTTTTCTTTCCCTTCATTCCAGGCTCAGTGTAAATCAAGTCACAGATCACGGAGTAAGGGTCTTGTATGAAGAACTCTCCAAGTACCAAATTGTGACTTTCTTGGGGTAGGTACCAATTGGGAGCAAAACTAGATATTGATACTAGAAAATAAAACTGCAATGCTGACAGTAGTGACAGAGGAAAGGTGGGGTGGAAACCACAGTTACCTCCTCATTTACTGGACATAAGCAAAGCGGCATTTTGTGTCAGAAATTCAGCTGCCGTCCTGTAACAGTTCGCTGGGAAAAGGACCACAGCTTCCTCTCTCATTGCACTGCCTCACAGGGTGGCCTCCACTGACATCAAGCCCTTCTGTAACACCGTGCGGACCACTCTCAGGTTACTGAGCTGTGTGGGCATGCTAGTTTTATACCTAACGCCTTCTGCTAGCTGTGGAGTGGGGAGAGAGAGCGTGAGAAGAGAGTGTGCGCTTTATGGCTAGAGCCTCCTGTTTTCTCTGCTGTAAACTGATTTATTTCAACTATGCAAAGCAGATACAGCTTGGTAGAGACTAGTATCGGAAACATAGTTTCAAGTGTCATGTTCATGGTACCAATTTCTTTAAGACTTTAATTAGTTCTTAATGAAGTTGAAGCTGGAAGGCATGTTAGCTCTGACTTCCTGCTCTTGGTTAAGTAGCTACATAAAAATGACTTTTTGAGAAATGAGCATGAATATCAAGAATCGCCTCCTTCCTCCAGTGCCCTAATGTAAGTACTTCTGCTCAGGTATCTGATCCTCAGTAATATTTGCAAGGGGATTTTATGACTTTTAGAAGACCAAAAATACGTTCTTCTGGTGTTTTCTCTTCTGACTTCTCTTCTGGCAATATTATTTTTGTACTAACACAGGAATAAAGGGAAGCTTTGTTTGCTTGGGGAGACCATTTATTAAAAAAAATCATATAAATATTTTCCCATGATTTACTGTCTGGTCTTCGTGTATTTTATATCTAGCC